CGCGTCGGTGTGGCGGGCTGGTGTTCAGGTGGTTGGGGGTGTGTGTGTGGGGGTGGGGGGGGGGGGGATTTCATGGCTGGAAGTTAAAGGGCACATAACGTGATTTTTACACATTTTTCCTTTAAATTGTGTAAAGGTCATAACTCACCGTAGTGATGTTCGTCTCCGTGTCAGGACAAGGCAGCTGAGCACGCAGGCGAAGTGACGACGTGAGCAAAGACTCCTCGAGCTCGACCCGGACCAGCAGAACCGAACATCCATGGAACAACTCCATCTCAGATATGAGCTCGATGGATGAAGATACGTCCAAAATCCTCAAAGTTGGTTTATGGATGTTTATCACAGTTAATGTTAAGTTAATGTGGAGCCGTGTGTGAGAGAGGTGTTTTCCTGTCAGAGAGGAGCCTGCAGGTGCCTGACGCCTCCGAGTCTGTGAGCTGAGAGGCCGAGGTCATCGTGCTGATAAGTGTGTGTCAAAAACGCTTCCTGCACACTGTCCGGCGCAGACCCTCACGGCCGGGCTTCAGTGAAACATCTGGGTAAGCCTGTGGTGACGATCTGTCCTTGTAGGTAAACTCTGTATAAAAATCTTCTCCTGTCGTCGTGTGCGGCTCCTTTTAAGTAACTAATATTTTTATCCACCGGTTTTAATCACGGTCGCTGTCGAAGAACAAATCCAGATTTTACAGAAACACGATCTGTCAAAGTGTCCGTGGTGACGATGAACCCTTGAACCAGCCAGCCCAGGAGCACGGAGCCCCAGACGGCCGTCCAGGCTGCGCTCGGTGGAGCCGCCCGACGCCGGAGCACCGCCGGAGGCGGCGCCACCAACCACCGAGTCGGCAGTTTGAATGGAAAGCCTCGTGTCAGCTCCAACTACATTTCAGCAGCTTTCCCCACAAAACGACTTCTGTGTTTCGGCCGTTTCTTTGTCAGAGGTCATCATCGCAGGTCATCGGCCTTCAAGGCCTCTGGTGCTCTATCGGTGGACAGCACCAGAGGTTCTCGTTAACCCGGGTCCTGAGCGGTCCAGTAAACCAGTTGTAAATCCTCGTGGGCGCCCTTCACCATTTATCCAGACTTATAGGACCAGAAGGACAGGAAGTGCCTCCACTGGCACCACAACATTCTACATGTCCTCCACGTGGCTGCGAGGGCTTTTATTTATTTATTGTTCATGCTCGGAGTGTTTGGGGGCCTCCCCACCTTGAGGCTGCAGCAGCACACCATCCGGGCGGATGTGTCCTCTCCTGCAGCTTGGATGTTCTTCAGTTCCTCGCTCCTTCATCGATCCAACGCGTTCTGAACAAACTGCTTCTGTCTTCAGAACAATCCGTTTCTGGAAACGTCCACCACGTCTTCTCAGGTCTCTGGTGGTCGTTCATGAATGGAAGTGAAGATTCTGTTCGTCTCCAAATTAGAAGGAAAAGTGCATTTTAAATACTCCCCTGCTTTAAAAACGTTTTATTTTAAAGAATGTTGTGGTTCATTTCTTTTCTTTTGTACCTGCGCTGCTGAAGAGGCTGGACGGGTCAGGCGCTGGGACGTCCCTCCTGGAGGTCCTGATGCTCATCAGCAGTATCGACATCCTGCCCCACCACCCCCACACCTGAGCACCTCCCCACCTCAGAAATTTAAAACCAGAGCGAGAGACAGACGTGTCCGAAATGGAGACGCGCGCGGCGGAGGCTTAATTATCCGTCGATCCGCTGAGATGAGTCGAGATGCAATTTGTGGTTAATTGCGAATGAAAACCTGCCGGGACCGTCCAATCATACTTAACCCACAGCTCCCGCAGGCGCGCGGAAATGCAGATTGATTTTTTTCTGTTCCTTCTCTTTGGCAGATGGGGGGGGGGGGGGGGGGGGCTCAGATCGATCAGTGATTGATAGATTTGCTGGTTTGTGGTGTCAGAGGCCTTAAAGGAGATAAGTGGATATAAAAAGCTGTTTTTGATGCAGTTCAAGGCACAAAGGAGGTTTCTGTCTCGGTTTTCTCACGTTTCAATCAAAATGTTTTTCTGTTGCTCACAACTGTTGACTTTTATTCACCTTTTGAAAATATTATTAACTTCTTTATAAAGTTGAACTCTTTTGTTCCACCCAAACGCATTTAGAAGCCTAAAGAATCACCCCTTCTCTTCAGTACCGCCTAAGGAGAAAGTGATTGTTTTTGTTTGGCTCTGTTAGCAAAATATCTCGTGACCCATTGGACAGATTTTATCGAACCTTTCAAGAAGTGATTATTGGGTAAACATCTACGAAAGATTTATTTTTGAAGTCGATCTATTGAAGTTGGCCGCCACAGCCAGCTAAGATTAAAAAGCACAAAATGACTAAATATCAAACTGTTCGAGAGATGTTGACCTAAAGTTTGGTGTGGTAGTAGCCGAGACTGATCCCTAACACACATTCTGAGTGCTGACAGAGTGTGGAAGAACTATGCCTAAAATTCTGTCAATTTCCTCTTTGGAGTCGACTTTGTCTGTTAGCAAAATATCTCTTGAACCAGAGGGCGGATTTTATAGAAACTTGCAGGAAACAATCACTGGATTTACACAACTGATTCGTTTCTGACAGTTTGTTATATATATTATAACAATTATGTATAAAGTAAGTTTTAAAAATCGCTATGATTGAAATATTAGCGCATCAAATCTTAATGAGGCTCCGGGTGATGTAATGAAAACAGTGACGTCACGAGTCGTTTAGAAAAAGCGTAATTTAACTCCAGATCAACTTGTATTTTCTTGGCTGAGGTCCCGCGCGGCTCTCGGTCCTCCGGGCCCGGCTGTGCAGTAGCCGCTGCTCCGTCACTAGAGGGGGGAGTCTGTGCACCTGTTCTCCGCTGCGCGCACTCTCCTCACCTCCTTCTGTTCCGCTAGACTCTTCTCTGCCGGACCAAGTTGTTCCGGCTGTGGTCTCCTCCCATTGGCCCGCTGTACCTCTGTTTGGGAGGGGTCGGAGGTGTGGGACGTGTGTGTTTGTGTGTGTGTGTGTGTGTGTGGGGGGGGGGGGGGGGGTCTTTATAAGTGGCTGGCTCCGCGCGCCTGGCTGTCACTGCGTGCTTTCACTGGGAAGCGGTGGCACTCCTTCAGGAGGCAGCTGGAGACGAAACAAAGTGGAATTTCTCACCCCTTGCGTAAAAATTTACGCACAATCAGCGCGTAAAGGTCAAAAGCGCGTGCCGGTAGAGGAGGAGGGAGGGGGCGCAAAGGAGCGCGTGAGTGAAAAATATGGACTGAGCAGAAGAACAGAGGAGCAGGCTCTCTGTGAGGAACATCTGCAACTTGGTGCTCCACCTCAAACTCAGATGAACTTTGGATCGCTGAGACTTTTGGCACACCTTTACGCACGGCTGCGCGCGGCTCCTGCTGCGGTGACTTCATGGTAAAGTTGTGAACAGCGGGAGAGTCGCGGAGATCACTAACAACAAAACAACAGGGCAGTAAGTCACAAAGTGGAGCGCGCGCTGCGGAGGTGCGGCGAGGACGGGACAGGTTAGAGTCTCGAGTTTCTGCCGCTCCGTGGGGCTCCTGGTGTCCCGCGTCCATCCAACCTGGAGAAGTTGTCAACAAGAGCAGCGCGCAGAGACGGACTGGCAGGTGGACGCGCTCATCTCCATGCAGACGTATATTCACTCCACTATATATAGAAGTGGTCCTTAATAAGTTTCTCCTCCCTCCCACTGGCCCTGCAGCAGCTCCACGCACCGGGCGCGTGCCTATATATACACCATCCGGGCTTTTATTCCCCTCCGCAATCTGTATCCCAGAGGGCTGCCCGCCGTCGGTTCGGCTGTGAGGGCAGGAGTCGTCGCGTGGACTGACATGGCCACCGATCTCGCCATGAGCGCGGAGCTGCCCAACAGCCCTCTGGCCATCGAGTACGTGAACGACTTTGACCTGATGAAGTTCGAGGTGAAGAAGGAGCCGCTGGAGGCCGAGCGTTTCTGCCACCGCCTGCCGTCGGGCTCCCTGTCCTCCACCCCGATCAGCACGCCCTGCTCCTCCGTGCCTTCCTCGCCCAGTTTCTGCGCCCCCAGCCCGGGCACGCAGCCCAACCCGGGCCTCCCCGGGGGCGGCGGCGGCGCGAACGGAGGCAACAACGGCGGCGGCAACAATCACAGCGGCGCGGGGAAGCCTCAGCTGGAGGACCTGTACTGGATCCCCAGCTACCAGCACCACCTGAACCCCGAGGCGCTCAACCTGACCCCGGAGGACGCGGTGGAGGCCCTGATCGGGAACGCGCACCACCATCACCACCACCACCAGGCCTACGAGGGCTTCCGCGGGCAGCAGTACGTCGGGGAGGACCTGTCCGCGGCCTCGGCCGCGCACCACCACCAAGCCCACCACCACCACCATCACCACCACCACGGCCACCACGCGCGCCTGGAGGACCGCTTCTCGGACGAGCAGCTGGTCAGCATGACGGTGCGCGAGCTGAACCGGCAGCTGCGCGGCTTCAGCAAGGAGGAGGTGATCCGCCTGAAGCAGAAGAGGCGCACCCTGAAGAACCGCGGCTACGCGCAGTCGTGCCGCTTCAAGCGCGTGCAGCAGAGGCACATGCTGGAGACGGAGAAGTGCACGCTGCAGAACCAGGTGGAGCAGCTGAAGCAGGACGTGGCGCGCCTGGCCAAGGAGCGGGATCTGTACAAGGAGAAGTACGAGAAGCTGGCCAGCCGGACCTACAGTGGACCCGCGAGCACGAGAGACCCGTCCGGGAAACAGAACGAGTTCTTCATGTGAGACACTCCCGAGTCCCCCCCACCCCCCACCCCCACCCAAAAACTCTTCTGACATTAATTTATATTTTTCTGCGTTTGTGTTTTTGTTTACAGTAATTCCCTGAGACTGAAAAGACTTTTTAACTAATCAGAGCTCGGAGCGCGCGCGCGCATGCGTCACATCTGTGAGTCTTAAAAAGATGCAAAAACTTTTGGATGTCCTCGAGGCAGTGGCGGTTCTAGAGGCTGGCATGGAGGGCAGCCGCCCCTGGGGGGACAACGGTATCTTGGGCGAGCTGACGGGTTTTTCTACACTTTTGCACAAAGTTTGAAAGTCTGGACAGAACTTTAAGTTTTAAACACCCCCCCCCCCCCCCCCCCCCCCCAATTCCTGAATTTCCAAATGGGTCTACCTGCCAAAACCTGGAGCTTTAACCAGGAAAGGCACTAAATTCTGAGACAAAAACAGCTGACCTGAAAAACCTCTAGAGCCGCCACTGCTGGGGGGTGGTGGTGTTGGGGGGGGGGGGGGGGGTCTGTGGTGCCCTGCAGATGTTCTCCTGTCAGAAGTCTTACTGAAGCAGCGAGCGGACTCTCGGTGTCCGAGTCGAACAGAATGTCTGTTTTTTAAAGACTGAATGAACTGCACCTCCTGAGCTGCAGCCAGACTGTTGGAGGAGAAGGAGGCGCGCTGCGATGCAGAAACTTTCAATAATGCAAGTGTAATAGACCCCCCCACACCCCTCCCTCCAGCACCAACGTAGCCCCCCTCCCATCACACCTCTTTGCAACCCTGCATGCAGGACATGTACGGTAACTTTCAGTCAATCCAGATAAGCATGACCCACGGTTCTCCGCCTCCGCCGTCAGTAAGGCCCGGGTGTGCAGAGATGACCTCCTCCTCCTCCTCCTCCTCCTCCTCCTTCATCTCACCTCTCACTGGAGAAGACTCAAAGTGCAAAACAATCTGCTACGTTGCGAATGAAATGGATGCGTCTCTACCTGCTATTTTCAATCAATTTTTCTATTGTTTTAAAATAAAAATAAAATAAAAAAAAATAAAAATAAACTGAGCCAGATTTTCCACTGTATTTATTTCCACCTGTACATAACGTGTAGAGGACGGTGTGAAGAAAAAACATTAAAATGTTATTTTAACTTTTCTCTTCTTAAGGCTTTTGTTGCTTGAATTAATTCAGAAATGTCTTACTCCAAATGTTTGTATGTTACAGCATGCAAATTGTCTATGGTCCCCTCCTCTTCCTCCTCCTCTTCCTCCTGCTGACATGTTAAGAAGCCTGTAACTGCACTGAGAACAGATCGACGTTTAGTTTCTGACCTGGATGTAAATTTGATTTATTGGATGGACAAAGACTGCTGCTAAAACTCTATGCACCAATCAGACGATTTAAAAGACTTGTTGATGTTTTTTTTTTTTTTTTAATTATTAAAATAAATGTTTCTGGGCCTGTGGGTTTGATCTGCGCCCGGTCAGATGGGGAGGACGGTTTTATTGTTGTGGGGATTTAAAAAAAAGAAGAAGACTTTGCTCTGTGTTTGAGCTGACTGTTCCTGGGGAAACTGGATGAACTGTTGTGTCCACAACAAGCTGGTGTGTTTTGTGCTGCCTGGATAAATGTGCAATATTATGCAGAAGGCCGCCTGTTCTGTAGCGACTGGAAAGCTGAAGAAAATAAAACAAAATGTACATTTTTATTTGCTGAAATTTCAAAGAATAAAGAAAACGATTTAATTAAATAATAATCAGTTGAAATAATCATTAAAAAATCAATTTTAATAAAGAATAAGTTAGGTTTTTTTGAGGATTTGAGCGGGTTGTAAATTTACCAAGCTGTTCCTGAACGCACCATCCTGATTTGGACCCAACCTTGTGCACGGTGTTCATGTAAATCTGTCCATGAGATTTGTTTTCATCCAGTGAACGTGTCAACCAGTGAAAAACCTGCAAAGTTTGTTGAAACTCTTCTTTTCATGTTTAATGAAAACTTCTGTCCCGGAAAATAATGATAATGATAATAATAATAAAACCTCCACTCTGCTGTGTCACAGCGCGCGCTCTTATTCCACAAAATAAAATCAAAACGAACCCATAAATAATTCAAATCAAGCTGTCAGAAATTATTTACAATCCAGGAGGGATTATTTTAGACCATGTTTCAACTGGGGCAGAAACAAACGGAAATTTTAAATCTAATAAAAAAAAACTCGATTTATTTATGTTTATGAAATTTGGGTAATGTTGATTTAAATGTTTGTGTTTTATTGGTGTAAGAAAAAACTTAAAACAAGAGCTCCTGTGTAATTTATCGTCTTTAGTTTTTGATTAGGAATAAAATATATTTTTCAATTTAAAATGTAAAATAATAGCGATCAAGTTGCTGAATAATAAGCACAGAATCGTAATAATTCTTATAATAAATGTGGGAATAGTTTAATGGACCATAAATTCGTTCTTATGTCTTATTTTCCCTCCATCTCCGGAGCTCCGGAGCAGCGCCGCTCGGCGGGACTTCAGGCCGGGGATGGAGCTCCTCGCAGCGGCCTCTGCGCGCCGCGTCAGCCGGTGATGGAGGGACGAAGCCCGGCCGCGTCCTCCGAGGTGAGCACCGCCTCTTCTTGGACTCTCATCTTCCGTGTCCGCGCGCACGCACCCACGTGCACGCACCTTAGCTGAGCTGAGGTGCTGAAGTGGCTCGGGGCTGTGCGTGTGCGTGTGTAGGTTGGGGGTCATAGGTCACTGTTAGAAGTCACTGATACCTTCAATCAATGCTTGTAGCTCTTTATATTTATATTTTTAATAGAAACTGTGACATTTATTATTATCAGGAACATTTTGAGTCTAAAGTGACATTTGAGTGTTTTTGTTTTTTTAGACAAAAATATTCAGATTTATTGGTTGTTGGAGATATTGAGGGGAGTCAAAGAGCCAATAAACTGACAGCGTGAGAGCGACTTTTAAAAAGTTTTAGTATTTAAAACATCTTCTATGCTCATAAATCACGTGGTTCACAATATTTTGTTTTAGCAATAGCAGTTTTCATAAACTAATTTTAAAACTTGTTTCTTTTTCCTCACTCTATTTTTTTATTTATTTATTTTTTTAAGATAACCAGATCACAAAAAGTCATAAAGTAAAACAGCACATTGTGCTCATGTTGATGATGTTTCTTGTTGTGAAGTTTGAACTCGAGCATTAAAAGGTTGAAATCACTCCGGTAGTTTTCCAGGTTTAAAGTGTGGGTCTGCGCTCAACGTAAACAAAGCACTTCGGTCTGCAGACTTTCTAAATCACGCATCATCTGGTTAAAACTGTCGGACGTCTCCATCCTGAACGGCTCCTCCATGGTTTTCACTGTTGCTGTTTTCAGTCACTTCGGCTGTTTCCGTAGGTAAACAAACACACCTGTTAATTAGCTGCCAGCCACACCGTTTTGCTTACAGGCTTTAAATTATCAATGTGAGAAAAAACTGGTGCAGATTTTGTTTCTTCCTTCATATTTTTCCATAACTTAGAAACCTTTGATCTTCTCTTGAAACGGCTCAACCGACAGCTGCGTTTGTTTAGCTACAGAAACAGCCGAAGAGTCTGAAAACGGGTCGACGACGACGTATAGTCCACAAATCCCTCGTTTGGGACGGACACGTCTGTAGATGTAGTGTTTACGTTTAAAGTCTGCTGCTTTGTTTACGTTGAACGCAGACCCACACTGCAGAATCACAAACATGTAGCACCCCCCGGAGCCCCTATGATGGAGTTCAGGAGAACATTTTTTAAATTTTAGTTTCATCTTATAACCTTTAATCAGTTTTCAGCACGGTTCAAATTTTATTTTTTACCTAATACCCCCCCCCCCCCCCCATCACTCTCCTCTTCTTGCTTCTGCTGACTCAGAGGAAACGCTGAGCTGTGTGACAGCCGTCACCTCACCCTCAGTCCATGTGTGTGTGTCTAACAGGATGTGGTGGTATGCAGTGGACTGGAGGAGGTGTGTGTGTGGGGGGGGGGCAAAGAGAGATATCACCATGACGACACCGAGGGCTTTTCTTTCTATAAATCAGGCCAGAGTCCATCTGAGCTCAAACAAAGCGAGTGAGGAGGGATGAGGGGGGGGGGGGGGGGGG